GATTCTCTAGGTCTTTTCTTGCCTGTTTCCAAAGATCGACGACCTCCGGGTTCGTGTAGACTGTGTTGGCTCCGGTGGGGCTCGGTCCTCCGATATACATATTTGGCACGGCAATGCGTAGGCCTTCCAAGGATTTGCTCTGTTCCAAGTCGCGGAAAGAGCCTGGTTTGCCAATCCACGGTTTTGGGAGCTGGACGAATGGCTGATTACGCCAGAAATCACCTGTAGAAACATCATCCTCGGCACTAATAACGTCTAATAGCACGAGGAGATCCTTCATGCTTCTTGTGTGCGGAACAATCACGTCACAAGTTGGGTACAAGGGCCAATTTCCCCTTATAGAAAGATACCCTCTTGACGGCGTGTATGCTACAAGGGCGTTGTTCGATGCCGGAGACCGGCCTGAAGAGACCGTCTCTTCGCCCATTCCGAAGGCTGCAAATGATGCCGCTGTGGCTACGGCGGAGCCGTTCGAGGAACCTGATGCCCAACCAGCAGCCAGCCACTCAGGATTATAGGGGTTCTCTGCGCGTCCGTAAATTCCACGCTGCATCCCGCCCCAGGCCATAGGCGGCATGTTGGTTCGTCCGATGAGGACGCCACCCGCCTTCCGGATCATTTCCACAGTGAACGCATCCTCATTGGCGATCAAGTTCTCGAATGCAGGAGAGCCGCTTGCGACGGTCATCCCCCGTACTTTATAGCTGTCTTTCACAGTGTACGGGATGCCTTCAAGGGCCCGGACCGGAGCACCGGCCGCACGCCGATCATCGGAAGCGGCCGCGTCTTCAAACACGGCATTGTTCAACACGGGAATCGCATTCAGAGCAGGCCCACGGCAATCATATGCACTTATACGCCGAAGATATCGAGCGACAAGATCCACGCTTGTGATCGCTCCTGACGTAAGCGCTGACTGTAGCTCGTCGATAGAAGCTTCGAAAATACTGTTGCTGGCCATCTTTGAGGACTCTGTTGCAATACTCTCCTAGATCACGAAGACTGCCAGTATGCCGTAGATGTTTTCCCAGGTAAATTATGCGAACAGAGAGAGGCGAGTCAAGGAGGCTTTAATCGCCAAAATCCGACGTTATCACAATGGTGGGGCCGCGAGAGTCCGCCTACGGGGAACCATCGTTGTTCCTCGTCATGACACACAATGTTGACACACGGTGACATCCGTATGTGAACCATTACGCTAAGCGCTTTCTTTGCTTTTGTCAAGCTACATGAGCAGCATGCGTATAACTTTGCGTGTATGTCGGCATTGAGCAATGATTGATCATGGATGAATTTGACAACGTAATAGCATCTTCATGGCTTTGACATGGAAGGCACTTTCTATGTATTGCCATGCTGGAAAAGTCCGCCGCGGGCCAAAACAGCGACCAATGCAGTACTGTGGAGCCGCGTTTCGTAGCTTGTAGCCTGTAAGCTTGGGGTGATTTCGTTTTAGTCTTAGGGCTCTTTCAGTCCCCATCCCCAAATAGAGCGCTGCGAGAATTGAGGGGCCCTCGTATGCTGATACGACGAAATTTATTAGCCTAGGCAATGCAAGTAGAAATACCGCCCCCAGAAACGTTGACACGAGGAATTTTCAAGAAGTTTAGACAGCTTGAAATGTTTGAAAATCCTCGAGGAGCACTTTCGGGGTTCTCTTGGAAAAACAGACTATTATTTGGAAGAGCCTTGTCGTTGCACTCTTCCAGGATTGCGCCTGTTTTCGATGGATATCGTAACTGCATTAGACATTGGGAGGAGGGATTTCAATGGTTTCTTGAAATATGGGTTTTGTCAATATACTGATGTGACAGAATGGGAGCCCCGCTAAGTAGTAAGCTCCCCAATCCCCGACAGAGGTCAACACAGCATATATATATATAGGTGTGCAAG